CTGTGGATGTCTTCTTGGCTAGGAACGTAAGGTTTGACTTTTCCACTATAGTCTTAAGCAGAGTATAACAAGTGGTTTGTCTAGTCAGCCAAAACATGGCTGCAATGGATTTATCAGATTTCCTGACCACCACAACGAAATAAGCCACCATATCTAAGCCTTTACCCCAAGACTAACCCCTTTTTGATCCCACTCTTAGACAAAAACCAGCTCCGGAACTGATGTCATTCCCACCCCTCATAAATGGTTCTCAAACCCTGTGACTCACAGTTTGACACTCTCGGAAGGCTGCGGCTTTCGCCCCCATGCATCCTCTGTCTCGGACTGCCACTCTTAACAAGGTAAACCACTTTACCCCAGCATAACCCAATAATAATACCCAAAATGAAGCATTTTACACCAAATGTTCATCTGTAATAGACATAGATACCGCTCCGGGATCGGCGCCATTCCCAGCCCTCATAGCTGATTCCAAACCATGTAACTCACAATTTGACACTCACAAAAGGCGCCTTCGGTTCCGGCTATCATTATTAAGGGTCATTATAGTTACGTCATTCTTATAAGTTAAATTACATTTACTCCAATGTAATGTAATATTCATTTTAAAAACAGAGCCTGACATTCACTCCAAAGTAATGTAATGTATAGTTACAGCTAAAACATATTACACCATATGTTCCTCCGTCTGAAACATATTACACCATATGTTCCACTGTCTAATGAAATTTATGGGGTAAACTACATTTATGCTAACGTAATAGTGGCCCATTTCAATTATAAGTTAATCACATATTACATACTAAACCCTATGTAATTCCTGAGTCTTTGTATCCTGCGCCAAAAAGGACACAAAATATCTCAATACATTTATTGCATGCTTAAGGTTAACAAATGTACAAGTAATTAGTCATTATTAACACTACTTTTACTGAATATTTACTAATCTGCAACAATTCTTCAAGCTCAAATAATTGTCAAAATAGTGAAAGACCGCAGGTGCCATTGGTAACACATTAACATTAACATTCTTCATTGTAACCATAATTAAACTTCAAATACAGCAGCTCCACTACTCTTGTATAGATCCCTCAGGGTCCAAGCATCTCACATGCACGATCTCTCACTCATCCCAACTATAATCTGAAATGGATCAAGCGATCCTTGGATTCCATTTTTCCTGTACAAAAACTAAAACCATAGCATAAAACATCCAGGAAAATAAAATTTCATAAGATTAATTATAATTATTCAATCAAACAATAAATTTAGATGAATAATTGAGAGGCCGACGAGATGAATGTAATTAACGATCCACTTTCCTGTCCACAGCAATGTCTAGTAATCGTTAATTAATTTATAATTTATACATACATAATAAAGGCTAAAGTAGTCCATAAATTTAAACAATTATAACAGGGCCTCTAAATAGTTCAAAGAGAAACACATGTCATGAACAATTAAAAGAAGTCTACACTTAATCTCTGTTTAAATAACAAACTGGGAAAGTAATCAGGGGGGGTGTATATATATCATTAGTATAGAATATACTAAAATATATATACTTCCTGAGATTATACGAGTTTCTCCTATAGATGGACTACAAATCAGAGAACCCGTATCACTCCTTCTCCTCGTGGACCTCAATACTGTTCCCTTCTCCTGATGGATAAGTGCCCCATCAACATATATGTGCCCCTAGAGAGCCCAAGTGATGGTAATCACGGGCTTCATCAAGTAGATCTCGACACTGGTGACTGGATCTTGCTTCTTGATAGTTTCTAATATTCAACCACTGGAAAGAGCTACCTTCTCTAGATCACCCTCTCTGGCTGCCTGGATACCTCTATTTGAAGGTGCACAGTCCCTGTGGTTTTATTGTAGTTAACCCATTAGTGACGAGACAAAAAAAATTTTCTGATCTTGCTGAAAAATACAGGGTTAACTCATTATAGTGTCCATAAAGTAGATCTAAAGTTTCAATTTTTTTCAATAAAGGGTTGTGGAGATACAGAGGCCGGCCAATTTTGTCCGGTTCGGACCAGGTCAAAATTGACCGTCCCGTCACGAATGGGTTAATACCAGTGATGAAGAACTTGATGACGAACTTGAACATTAAGCGATGAAGTGATAAAACTATCAAGGATGTTCTAAGGTCCTGGATGATCTAGTACCCAAGCATTCCTGGCTATGCTGTTGATACACTCATCAAGTAAGCATAGTTATGTTTAGTTCATTTTCAATGAATAGTTTAAAATAGCCTTATTTTATTATTTAGCAGACAGTATGTTTTTCTAATTCTATTTAACAAAAAAGAGTAAAGATAAATTTTATTATTGAAATGATTTTTCTATATCAAAATTAAAGGGATCTGAAGCAATGCTTATAATGAAAAATATATGTTTTAACATGTCTCTTTTTAAGGGGATTATCAGAAGTGAATGTGATGTAGAAAATCTCTGCTTAACTTAATAATCCCCCAGTGCATAACATGCAAAACTGTTGGATCAACAATTATGCGTATTGCGTATCCACAGTATCAATCAAAAACTGTAAAAAAAAACTTTGCAGTAAAAAATTACTTCAATCGAAAAATAGAGATTTAAAATAATTTTCTTTTATCAATGATTTATAAATTGATCGTGATGTATTTTACAGCATTGAATCATGGATTCTCTCACTTTAAGAAATAGTTATTTTAAAAAATTTTACCATTAAAAATTTTAACATAAAAATAAACAAAATTAAGAAACGAAATTGTTGCTTTATGGGGTCGGATGAGTCATACAAATAAACATTTCTTGAGACCTGTAAAAATGTTTTCTAAAATTCTTAGAACCTTAAAGCAAACACCTAGAGGAATAAAAACATACCAGATTTCTGGAATGGAAGTTTTCTACTATACAGAAAAGGATCAGATAGTGACAATTCTTGACAGGTGTTTTATCTGCATTTTCCCTGGAATAATGGTTCAAAGGTGCAGGTTAATTGTTGATTTATCTGGATGCATTGCATTTCATACATACAAATAAAATAAACACAAATTATTTCCTGACTGTTTCTAATAATAAATTTTAAAGTCTAAAATTTAAAAAACGGTTATAAGTTTGACATTTTTTCTGAGCTGCTTATCACAAAATTTGGACTGCCTCAGTCAAGCCGATATAACATATGACAAACAAGCCCCAAAAAAACATGCTTAAACCTAATTTCAATAAGTGTTTTAAATTGTATTGTATCTGAATGGTAAAAAATTTGAATTTTTAAATATCCATCATCTACATTGAGGAATGTTTCGGAGCTTAAAATACAATGGATAGCGGATACGCAAAAACATGAAAACAAAGAGAAGCATTCTATTAATAGCTACTTTTTGTTTACTTATAAACTTAAATTTTAAAAAAAATTGTAGGAATTAAAACTTAAAAGAATTTTTTTTAAATACATCATTTTTTTAAGATGGCATTCCGTTGTTTACAAGTAGTTCTAAGAATTTCTGGCCTTTGTTGATGACAATTCGCAACATTTGGTAAATTGCTAATTTATTTAATTTTTCTTTCAGAGTGGAAAGGACATAACATTACAACCAACATGAAGGATGCCTCAAGTAATCCCTGTATTTATGATAATGTTTGATTTGATTGAATCCATATAATTTTACGTTAGTTCACATTAATGTTACTCAGAGTAGAGTAAAAACACAGGCGAAGATTTAAAAATATGACAGTGTTAATGTTCAGTCCTCCTGTGGAGGTCCCTCTTCTAATCGCTAAAGGCCTTCAAACCCTGCCAATCAAGAATTCATGAAGCGAACAATGGAGGAACTTGCACTGTGAGGAGAGAAGGATTTAGTTTCAAAAACAAGGATCTTAAGGTAAGCCAAGAAATGCTTAACACATTATAACTATGAAGTCTAAAATGACAATTAAACATCTAATTCTTACTTGATAAAACAGGGCTTTTAAGAATTTTGTTGTTAATCGGACACACCACAAACATTTAAAAAGTTACTTGAATTTACGTCTACAGTCTTATGAAGATATCAGAAGTATCTATTGTTGCAGATATTCTGGCTCCTTCTTTTATGAAGGGCTTTTCCAGCTATTCAGGTTAATGTTTTACTTATACTTATATTATGATTAAAAAGATCGTTAGTAAATTTACTAAATATTATGTTCTAAGGATCCAGTACATTTTGAATAGGATATAGATCTTGGATCTGTTTTGTGAAAAAATGGACAGTAATGCTCGTCTAGCTTATGAATAAATCATAAAGTTTCAGATTATTTATTTTGAATATTTCATCATGACTTTTATGCCATAAAGTATACAAAATTACTGAATGAACACTTGATAAGGGAATTTTTACCAAATCCAAATGGAGATTTTAAACCCCCTCAATTAGAGTGTTTCTGGTTCATGAGGACTCCCTCCTGTTAAGAAAATAATTATTATCCTACTTGTTTAGCATTCAAATCGTGCGGCAGATGTACTGAACACGAGTATATACAAACTAATCGGAGGAGGAATTTGTTTCAAGGAGTCAGATTATACAAAGCTGAAGAAGAGGACAAACAGAAGTTTTTAATATTTGAGAAACTCAGTGCATTGCTTTATTGATTTTTATTCATATACAATAATAGATTTCTTTAAAAATAGCAGGTTTATTAAATTGGAGATTGTGAGAGTGAATAATGAATACATCTGATATCATTCAGAACAAAACAAATTTAAATTATACCATTAATATATGTAATATGTAATATATGTATGTATATTAAATGTGTGTGAATAAATATAATAATAATATTATTCAGATTTTCAGATTAGGAAAAAGCCACTTTTGATTTTAAAAAAGCCAATTAAGCCATTTCTGGTCTACAAAAAGCCAATACTAAGCAACTTTCTAACTATAAAAAAAGGTGTTTTATCCTTTTTTAGAGTGATTTTAGTACCCTTTTTTAAAGCCACTGTTGAAAGTTTAACCTGGTCATATTATCTGAAAAAAATACATATAAACTTCAAGGTTTTAAAACCAAAAACAAATATCACATTTCTGACTGTAGCAATCACAATTTTCAAATTTATGTTTTATCTAAATAATACTTATTCTATCTTGGAGCACAGGTTTATAACAGCTAAAGATTCATCATCAGAAGGAACCTGGGTCGGGTACATGTTGTGGGAGTTAAACCTGTTCAGCATTTCGTCGGTGATTTGCAACTCCTTGCAACAGATATTTCTCGCATGGAGAAAGGACTTTAGACGTAAAATGGAATCCAAGGTTTTAGTTTGCATCCTATTTGCATATTTATCTTTCACAAAAGTGACTCAAAGAGAAACATCTCTCTACAAACGCGCTTGGACAGGCATACTAAGAAGGTTTAGAAAGTATGTAGATAGTTCATAGAAAGGTTTGGTTCCATCTTCGATGGTGTATTCGGAAACATGAGACCAAAACTCAGCTGCATCTCCTGGGATTTCATTTTTCAGAGAAGAGACCCAGTCAACATGTTTGATCTTCATGATTTGACTTTCGACCATCGAAATGTTACTTATAAACTGAGGGGAATGGTAACTGGTCCATTCTTATTTCCTTGTTTATGTCCAGGATCAGCTGCGGGGAAATTCTTGATATTTTTCCTATTGTTTCCATGTTTACTGTGACTTTTTTCTCCGTTTCCTTGAGAACCGTCTCCAGGTATAACTTACACCTGGTCTGTACGTTCAATACCATATTTGGATTCTTAACCTCATGTACTCGGCACATTTCCTTAAACTTGGCTCCAAATGAGATGTGGTGCATCTCCTTTGGTTTTTTGTTAGGAAAATAAACCCGGTCTCTTATTGCCTTGATTTGAAGATCTACCTCCCTTACCATTAAAGATATATTAGGGTTGTTTTGCTGGAACATAGCATTTACACGCTCATATTCTGCTACAATAGGGCAAACAAACTCAAAGTAGAGCCTGTTAGCAGGGTTAAGCAAATAGCTTTCTATAATTCTGCATTTAGCTTTCACCTTGTTATCCAAACTCAGGGATTTGGCTAAGTTTGACAAATAGGCCTGCAACCCATCTCAATTGGATAGAATTCAGTTCATGACAGGACCTTGAACAAGTCAACAAGTCTTGCAATGGAGTAGATACACCTTCATCAACATACATCGCCTTCTGTACCTCCTAAGGGTATTAAGATTGAAATAAAGAAATTGAGCTTTTGCCACAAACTCAAATTTTCTAATTCCTAAATCTTTGAAACCTGATGATGTAAACCTTGGATATTTCAACCTAAACCATTTTATCTCACAGAATTAAAGTTTGAAATCTTAAAAGTCTGTGAATTTGGGTTACAAAAATAATGGCATTAGAAAATAAGAGTTTGCGGTGAAAACTCAATTCCTTAAATGAAGTTGTCAAGCCTGCCAAATTAATAAAGTTATGAAGTAAATCTCTACTAAATATACAAATTAACCCACCTGATATTCTTCTCTCTGAAGTGCAGAGTGAGAAAAGAATCCTGGAATCTCCATGATGAGAAATCCCAAATGCCCCAGGCATGGTATCAAAAGTCCATTTCAATACCAATGCCAGACTAAAATGAATTAGTTAGTATTACATTATTTGGTAAGTGGTCATGTGTGAATTATGTTTAATACTGCAAAATATTTTTTCTTACCTATGGCATACTTTACTTGAACAGCTCCAGGACAGGCCATCTTAATTCTTGACCAAAGAGAGTTTGACTGGCCTAATAGAGAATAACTTTAATTTAAATTAGATAAATTGCATTGAACTCCTTAAAAGGGATGTTAAGAATATTTACTTTTTAAGAATTAAAAAACAATTTCAGCCTTGTTAAGATGGTGAGTGATGTTTTACATGCCATAATGGTTAAAGACAGTTGAGTTAATAGGTTCCCAATGTATTTACCTGCAACATTATTTGCCCCATCAGAGCCGAATCCAATGCAGTCATCAAGGTCCAGCCCAACATCTTCAACAACCTTTTTAAGGGCAACAAACAATGCTTCTCCAGTGCAGGACAGAACATCAATCACTCCCAAATATTCATCTAATACTTTTTTCAGAGTAGAATTATAGTATTTCACTGTGACAATCATTATCTTTGAGGAAGAGCAGTCTGTTGATTCTTCTGCCATAAGTGAAAACTTTCTACCTTGGATAGCTTTTTTGAGTTCTCCTTTAAAGGACCGGGATATTAAATTATTAACCAAAGCTGTACATTTGGTGCGATGCAAGCGCAATTTTTCCCAAGAAGATCCAACACCAAACTCCTTAATAATCTCTCCAGTGTGATTAATGCAGCTAAGGCTTGCATTTGATGCCATGCAAGCAGCAATCTTGATCTCAGCTCTTTTCTTGCTTGTCTTAGAAGAATTACCCAAAAAACTGTTAATATTCACCAGGTGTTTAGATTTATTGGGGTCCTTGGATGAGTGTTTTTGAGAGTTCTTATGACTCTGGAGTGAACTCTTGTGAGAACGAATGGATTCATCACTCAAACTACATCTTAAAGATACAACTGCCCCCCTCATCCAATAAATATCAATTCTAGTGCAGCCAGCATTGAATCTTCTAAAAAGGGGACAAAAAATAATGAACAAATTGAAATAGAATATGATAAAGGTTGAAAGGGTAAATTCCTAGAGAACGATTTTTGGACCCCCCCCCCTCCTATCAATTTTGTACATGGATCTTAAATTACATGAATCTTTAATGTAAGACATGTGGCCGCAGTGCTCGGCCCCCTAGCCTGTCCTAGCCGCAGTGCTCGGCCCCCTAGCCTGTCCTAGCCGCAGCGCTCGGCCCAGAAAGTGTCTTAACTAACCTAACCCTTGGCCGCAGCGCTCGCCCTCCTAGCCCATCCTAGCCGCAGCGCTCGGCCCAGAAAGTGTCTTAACCTATCCTAACCCTAAATAATACTAAATAAATACTAATTTGGTCATGTACAAAATTGATAGGAGGGGGGGGGCTGGGGGGGGGGCCCAAAAATCATTCACTAGGACAGACCCGTTGAAAGTCATGTATAAACTTATCCAGGGGGGGGGGGTTCCAGTCCTAAAAATCTTAATTTTATTATAATTGTAACTTTTTCATGATTGAAAAATTCTTACTTTGAATCTTGATGATATCCATGGTCAGTTCCTGGTTTCAGCCATGGGAAGTCTTTTTTTCCCTTAATACGTCTCCTAGGTTCTGATCTCACTTTGCTGACTGATCCTCCTCTTTTTCTTTTGACTGGACTACCCATTCTTTATGAAACAATTTTAATAACTTATCAACTGTAAATTAATAAGCATAGTAAGTATATTTCAATTCTAATCCAAGCTGTATAACTGTAAATGCAAGCACTAAGCAAAAGATTATTTTCAAAAGAATCTTTTTCCTTTGATAAATGAAGTGTTTCAGGTATCCTGAAGCTGAAGACTGGTTTGTGAACACTTGTACAGTTACAGATTTTGTCCACCAGATGAACGTACTCTATAGACGTAAACAGTAGAAATACCCGACTTTTGAAAGTACAACTTGCAAGAAACTTTGATTATGAGAGAGATAATTGCAGCCAAACTTTGGTTTGTGTGATGTGTCATGAACTTAAATTATAGTTTTTACTGTCGATAAATGTAAATTTAAAGGTTTTACTGTAAAACTTTGAAAAAAAGCCACTATTAAGCCATTAAGCCACTTCTGCCACAGCCTTGAAAGATAGCCATTTTAAGGAAATGTGGCTGGAAAAATAGCCATCTGGCTGCCCTGACTTCTTAATCTCTTCAGTTTCATTCTTCTCTTCCTTTTTCTATCCATCCTTCTTCCCTGAGACACCGGCATCATTCTTCTTGTCGTGATTTCTTTACTAAATATTCAAAATTTAAGAAAAACAACTAAAATTTTAGGTTTAAAAAAACACCAGGTTGCAACCTAGCAAAAAACAAAATACCCAGCAGGGCTAAATAACACCAAAGAGGTAAGAAAACCCCAGGTTTGCAACCCAATGGACCAGAGACAGGTTTTCATAAAAGCTCATAAAAAAGTAACCTCAGAGCTTAGAGCATTCAAAACCATCAAGCTCAAAATCTTATCTGTTCCTTACTATACTAACAAATTTTCTTATTACTTTTATTTTTATTTTGACACAACTTAACTCATTTTTTGTTTGGGCAGAATTAGATTAGTTTCTTAAATCCTTCAGCATTTTGATAGTACTGCACATTCAAAGGAGATGAAATAAGTTTTGGAAACTAGAGAATGATTCTGATCATTATTAAAAATTTACAAACCATTTTTGTCTTCAAGTGCCTGAAAAAAATCAATTTAAAAGTTGTTTCGGAAATTTAGATCAGTCTAAACAAATAATCCAACATAGTATGTTGTTTCTGGTGATAAACTCAATGATTTAAAAAAAAACTCTTTTATCAAGTTAATACACTGCAAGGTTTGAATGAAAAATTCAATGTTTCAAATAGATACTTCATGGTTTAGATGATCAATTTCATGGTTTGTATGAAAATCTCGATGGTTTGAATGAAAAACTCCATGGTTTACATTAGGGGTGGATACAGGATTTAAGTGAGAAGAGTGCTAGATTTATTTCAGAACAAAAATCTAGATTTAGGAACCAAAAGACATGCCGAAGGCAAAATGTTTTTTGACTTTCCTGTTTTGCATTAGGGTTTCTTTCCCTCAAGTGCTATTAAGAAGCTATCCTGAAATTTCAGGGGGGGGGCTACCCCCCCCCCAGAATAATTTAGGGGGGATAAACAGGTCCTGCCGCTCCCCCCCTGATTTACATTATGAACTTTATAACATCGTATAAAGGAATAACCATTGTACACTACTGAATGATCATTCTTAGACTAAGAACGGAACGGAACAAAACAAGAACGAAATGATTGGAAATAAGGAACGAGAACAGAACGATCTAGCTGAAGGCCCTCGTTCTAGAACGGAACAGAACGATTTCAAAAAGTCCGAACGTGCACCCAGGTCTATATATAACTATAGCAATAATCAGAGGAGCTTCTTAGTCTTCATATTTATTAAAACAAATTGTTTTGGATGGCTCCTCTTTAGTCAATAAACATTTATAAACTGATGTATAATAATTACGGATTTTCTAATTTTTTTAATGGATTTTCAAGAATACATAAACATGTATAGATATAAAGTAGCTATTAAAATGTTTTTTTATCTTTTATTAATTCCATGGGCAATGCCGGGAATAAAAGTTCGTGCTTCCGATAATTTCTAAAATAGAATAGGTGAGACTAGTTTAAATAATGTCCATGAAGGCCCCATTGTACTCCTCATCACAAGTCTCTCAGAGCTAATAGTAATTCACGAACGGCAGAAAATACAGTAGACAGAAAACAGGGTTAAAATAAAATTTGCTCATCTTATTTTCAATCGCTTTATATTATTTGTGTCTATAAATAGTGAATTTTTATTTCACATCGATATGTATTTATTGGGATTGGAATTATATTGAGGCATGCATGATGTGGGTTCAACCTTNCTACACATCATTTGTACTACACATCATTTGTACTTCACATCCTTTGTACTACTCATCATTTACCCTACATATCATTTGTACTACACATCATTTGTACTTCACATCCTTTGTACTACTCATCATTTACCCTACATATCATTTGTACTACACATCATTTGTACTTCACATCCTTTGTACTACTCATCATTTACCCTACATATCATTTGTACTACACATCATTTGTACTTCACATCCTTTGTACTACTCATCATTTACCCTACATATCATTTGTACTACACATCATTTGTACTTCACATCCTTTGTACTACTCATCATTTACCCTACATATCATTTGTACTACACATCATTTGTACTTCACATCCTTTGTACTACTCATCATTTACCCTACATATCATTTGTACTACACATCATTTGTACTTCACATCCTTTGTACTACTCATCATTTACCCTACATATCATTTGTACTACACATCATTTGTACTTCACATCCTTTGTACTACTCATCATTTACCCTACATATCATTTGTACTACACATCATTTGTACTTCACATCCTTTGTACTACTCATCATTTACCCTACATATCATTTGTACTACACATCATTTGTACTACACATCCTTTGTACTACTCATCATTTACCCTACACATCATTTGTACTACACATCATTTGTACTACACATCATTTGTCCTACACATCCTTTGTACTACACATCATTTGTACTACTCATCATTTACCCTACACATCATTTGTACTTCACATCATTTGTACTACACTACACATAATTTGTACTACACATCATTTACCCTACACATCATTTGTACTACACATCATTTGTACTACTCATCATTTGTACTACAGATCATTTGTCCTACACATCATTTGTACTACACATCATTTGTCCTAAACATCATTTGTCCTAAACATCATTTGTACTACAGATCATAAAGTATATATATTACTAACGATAAAACGATTATTTAACTTTAAAGATACTGCAGCGCTAAGCACAGAAATTGTCTTAACCCCACGTAACCCCAAAATAAGATGAGATGACAGTGTATTATTTAACATCGTAAAAGAAATTAAATTAAACATTTAAAACATTTCTTTAGAACAAATAATGTTATCAATTGTAGGACAAATCATTTTAATCCCTCTCTGTAGGACAAATAATGTAGAGTGCAAATTAAATGTAGGACAAGTGATGTTATCTCCTCAAATGAAGTGTAGGACAAATGATGTTATCTCCTCAAATGATGTGCAGGACAAATGATGTTATCTCCTCAAATGATGTGCAGGACAAATGATGTTATCTCCTCAAATGATGTGCAGGACAAATGATGTTATCTCCTCAAATGATGTGCAGGACAAATGATGTTATCTCCTCAAATTAAGTGTAGGACAAGTGATGTTATCTCCTCAAATGAAGTGCAGGACAAGTGATGTTATCTCCTCAAATGAAGTGTAGAACAAGTGATGTTATCTCCTCAAATGATGTGCAGGACAAATGATGTTATCTCCTCAAATTAAGTGTAGGACAAGTGATGTTATCTCCTCAAATGAAGTGTAGGACAAGTGATATTATCTCCCCAAATGATGTGCAGGACAAGTGATGTTATCTCCTCAAATGATGTGCAGGACAAATGATTGCAGGACAAATGATTGTAGGACAAATAATTCTGGGACAAATGATTGTAGGACAAATTACAAATACAGAGCATGTCGGGGCAACCCTAACAAATACAGAGCATGTCGGGGCAACCCTAACAAATTATGTGAAATTTTCATGCCAAAGCTACTATCTTTAAATATTTTTAAGCCAAAGCCTAGATAAATTCTAATTCTATCTGACTCACTCTTAAATCAAGATCAAGAATGGTCCAACTATTATGGAGATTGTTTAAAACTGATTCGGAGACAATTCACAGAAACATTTATTGTAGTTTTCAAATACCATTAAAATATAATGTTCCTACAACTATGGAATTTCAGTGAATTGGGTCTGTGAACACTGCCCAATTGCCGTGTTTCATGTATTTAGAATCAAACTTGAGTTATTTGTATAGGCCAAAACAAATGAAATAAGAGTTGTACAGTTAATATTGTTTATTTTTTGTCGTGTACAATATGTACACAACACTTAACGAAGCAACAAATTTATTTTGATCACAAATTATTTATTGTGGGTACAGGACTAGGAAATCTATCTAAATATTTACACTGGATGAATTTTATCAATTTGGAAAGAATGAATTTTCATTTTTAACTTTGCAACCTTTGGCACAACAGCATGCTAAACTAGTGGGCATCCAGCATGCTGGTGGCAGTATTACAGCATTCTGGTGGCAGTATTACAGCATGCCGGTGACAGTATTACAGCATGCTGGTGACAGTATTACAGCATGCCGGTGGCAGTATTACATCATACCGGTGGCAACACGTTGTAAAAATAACAACCAAGGATTAGAGATGTATTAATAGAGCTAGCATTTTGAGTATGCAATGGACCATATGATGTCATGGCGAATTAAAGACATTTTACTTTAATTCCAGGTTTGAATATACCTCCAGGTTTAAAGATATCTCCAGATTTAAAGATATTTCTCCAGGTTTGAATATATCTCCAGGTTTGGAGATATTTCGCATGGTTCAAAGACATATCTCTAGGTTTAAAGATATATCCAGGTTTAAAAACATATCTCTAGGTTTAAAAACTTTAAAGACACATCTCCAGATTTAAAGATATATCCAGATTTTAAGATATTTCCAGGTTTTAAGATATATCTCCAGGTTTAAAGATATCTCCATGTTTAAAGATATAACTCCAGGTGTAAAGATGTATCTCCAGGTTCTAAGATATCCTGAAGTTTAAAGATACCTCCAGGTTTAAACCTATATCTACAGGTTTAAAGACAAATCTCCAGGTTTAAAGACACATCTCCAGGTTTAAAGATGTATATCCAGGTTTAAAGATATCTTTAGGTTCAAATATATATCCAGGTTTGAAAATATTTCCAGATTTGAAAATATCTGAAGGTTTAAATATATCTTCAGGTTTAAAGATTACTGGCAATGTTTAGCTCTGCGATCCATTTATCAGCATAGGTTTTATTCTCCGCGACAAATATCAAGGTTTCACTGTTAGGGTGAGAAAGCTGAAACCCTGACTCTCCAGGCTCTAGCAAAAGCTTCTGAAAATAAAGTAAGTTAAAAAACTGGTTGTATTTCTATCAATCAATCAAATAATCCAAATTCTACTCAAAGAGTTGTCTGACACTCTATGAAATTTTCATCAGATAAAAATTATTTCTACATCTGCTAGTCTAAACAAGGTACCCTGAGAGTTATTTTTACCTCTGCAAGGGGTTTAAAAGTTCTACTACTAAACAAGGTACCCTGGGAGTTATGTTTACCTCTGCTAGGGGTTGAAGAGTCCAGCCTAGAACAGGAAGAGTTTCTGCTGCTACTGTATCCTCACTAGCTCTATATATATACAGAACTCTCTCTTTTAGAACAAACCAGGACCTCTTCCATTTATTATTCTTTAGCCGTCTCCGCAGGTGTCCAGACATCTCAGAGTTCTCAGAGTTAGCTGGTAGTTTTAACCTTTGAGGGATATATTTGCCAACAGATCTACTGTGATCCCGTTTTTTAAACCGAGATCTTAGCTCCTCATCTTCACCATGTACTACAAATAGTATCATTATTATTAATGTTATCATTATTTTGTTTAATGTTTTGAACTTCAGTGCTTATATTTACAAATTAATGAGAGTGTATAATAGTGTTTTCTTTAAAGTTGTAAGTTCAACACCTCTCCCAGGTGTATGTTAGGACTGATGAAAGCTTAACATAGAGAAAATAGAAAATATTTAAAGGGACTGTAAGCGAAATGTCGAGTGGCGCAATTTACAACAATACTCTTAAAACCTTTATCTGATCAATAATGTGGAAGATATTATCGTTTATCAAGGTTAACAAGTGTTAAACTTAGATAATTTCTTTATTGTTTCGTGATGTATAAATGGGCAAACCACTTTCGTGGAGAAACCACTTTTGAAAAATATCAGTTTTCAAATTTATAAACATCGAAGTGTAATTCATTCTTGGTCAGAGTAAGTTTTAAAGGGTATCATGTGAATTGGACATTGCTATCTTTGCTTGGAGGGTCACTTGAAATTACGGCTTACATTCCCTTTAATGATGATCTCATGTTAACCTTGGCTTACTAGCTTCATATTTAAATTTGAGGGGAAAATTCTGTAAGATTCATTTAAAAATCATTATTTTTAAATCAATTGAGTTTTTTGCTAACCCCCTTTAGGAATAGAGCAAGAAGAACTACAAAGATGATTTGCTTTCTTTAACCCAGTTTTTATTGATGTTCTGCCTCCCCCTCTTCTTGCTTATAGATTACTCATACTTTTGGCAATTGACTGTGCTAATCTAATCTAAGCTAAAATGTGTATCCAGGATTACAGAAGTGTCAACTTTTACCCACTTTTACCCACTCGTTGAATTGTATTAATGGTTTTAGCTTTAAATGAACTTTTATAATTGTAATTAACCTTCTTATTACATATTACATATTACATATTACATTTGCAGACCTTTAAAGGAAAACTTCCCCGTGTTATCAAATTAGTTAAGACTGTTCGAACTCTTCTAGATTTAGTTTATAACCCAAAAGGATGAAAGCCCCGAAAGAAGATTATAAAATCCGCAAATTAGTAGCGTTGGATTCTGGACCCGAGAACACCTACTCATGTTCCTCTCCTTCAATACAATCGTTATTCATTATGTATTTATAATCCTCTTCAAAGTGATTTCATCCTCTACAATATAAAGCTGTGTATGTACCCTTAAAAGCTTTGTCTGATAAGAATGAATATGATTTCCATGTTTTTCTCTTTAAAAATTGATTATTTTCAGGTGTGCGTTGGCTGTAACAGTTCAATTTTTCAAGCTAGAAAAATGGCGTCATCTTCCAAATTATAAATGGAAATCAATCCCTTTAAGTTTAAGTTTGATGGAAGTTCTACTTACATTTCTCGAGATGGTCGAAGCATGTATCACAAACTCTGTGCTGCTCCCAACCCTTGTATCTCAAGGGTGCCTTGTTCCTACTACAGTTGGTGCACACCACCTTACCACAGGCACGGCAGTGATGACGTCGGACTACAAGGTTAAATTCACCACCACAGACCTGGATTAAAATCTGTATAATATAATGTGATTTTAAGTGAATAAACATGATTTCAAGTGAAAAAACATGATTTCAAGTGAATAAATGTAATATTAAGTGAATAAATGTGATTTCAAGTGAATAAATGTGATTTCAAGTGAAAACATGTGATTTCAAGTGAATAAATGAGATTTCAAGTAAATAAATGTGATTTCAAGTGATTAAATGTTAGTTCAAGTAAATAAATGTGAGTTCAAGTGAATAAATGTGATTTAAAGTGAATAAATGTGAGTTCAAGTGAATAAATGTGATTTCAAGTGAATAAATGTGATTTAAAAACAAAAAAAAAGAGCGAAAAGAAATCATTTTTGTACATACTACATACTACCGCCCTAGTGTATATCAAAACAATGAAGACGACCTTTGATTTAAATATAAATTTTTACCAAGCTTTCAACCAGCATGTGATAGCAATCATTATTGTATCATTATTATGATTGCAATCATCCTACCTGACACATGGTAACCCTCTGGTCTGGAATCCAGACTGGGGCAGATTCTCCCAGTTTTCCCTCTCCCCTCCCCAGGGACATGGTATCTCCGATGTTAAATGTCGCCTTCCTGCTCCTGTAGTCCTCTATAGCAGTGTTCAAGGCATCCAACCATTCATTTCTCTCAGCTACATCTCTAGCAAATAATTCATTATAATTATTATCATTATTATTATTATTATCTTTATTAATCTGAATATGTTCAATAAAATAATTGTATGAGTATTTACAATAAAGAAATTATTCTAAATATTTGAATACTTCATATTTCTAACTTACTTTGCTCTCAGAGTACAACTCCTAACGTTGCTGGTAATAGAAAACTCTGTGTTGTACTCCCTGTCCTGGCAGGGGGGCAGGTTCACCGTAAGCTGGTTCAACATGATGGAGTAGCTCACCTGATAGATAAATAAATACATGCTGCACTTAGACAGATTGATAGATATATAGACGAACAGACAGAAAGAATAGATAGATAGACAGATAGATATGTATATAGATAGATAGATATTTCATATTTCAACAAATCACAATTTACTACAGTGAAACCCTTAATAACGAATACATCGGAAGAATTTATCAAATGTCGTCTTGACAATTTTTAATATGTTTTATACTATATTACGTAAAATTCAGTATTTGCGAAAATAAATAAATGGCCATGAATATGCGGGAACAGTTTTAAAGAGTTCCATATAATCATTTAATTAAAAAACTAAATATCTGCAACATTCCATTATCAGAAAGTGAAGAATACAACATTTGATGAATTCTTTCGATGTATTCGTTATTAAGGGTTTCACTGTATGTAGTTTGGACCCGCCTAACCAGAGTTGGTTGTTTTGATAGGTTGGCCCATTATAAGCGAATAAGTAAATAAATAGATGGATGTACACTGTACAGTGTACATTTTAAACAAAACAATGATGATAAATCATGAAGAAGGTAAGGAGGGGGTAAAAAGTATAAAGGAAAGGGTGGGTACTCAGCGGGATGGTAGTAACAGAGGGTAACATACAATATTAGAATCATGTTTATGAATTAGATAGATAGACGAATAGAAAGATAAAATAGATAGACAGATAGAATAGATAACCATATAGATAGATAGACATATATAGATAGATAGACATATAAACAGATAGATAGATAGATAGATAGACATATAGATAGACAGACATATAGATAGATAGACAGATAGATATATAGATAGACAGATAGATAGATAGATAGATAGATAGATGGAGAAATCTGACCTTCAAGCTGGTGTTATCCCCCGCCATGGTCCCCTGGTAGCTCGTGTACAGCAGGCAGTCAGAGACAAGGATAAAATATCTAAAAATAATTTTTAAATAAAAAAAAATATTTATAAAATTGTTTTTATTAAAACAAAGAAACTCAGTTCTGCCCGTCTAACCCCTAAATTTTAGCAACCCCCATGTCTAAGACCTTTGATTATTCAAACTATGAATCCTTCCGGATCACAATTTGAAATATTAAAGGGAGTGACCGGCAATGTATGGTAGCTGAACTGAGAATGTAGGTATTGTGGAGAATTTTTTTCGAATTAATTTGAGACATTTAAAACGTTTTAATGATGTATAATTACTGGGTTTGAGCGCAAAGTCGACGTTCTAATTTTCTTTAAATACCTTACAATTTTTAATTCTTTGCTACTTATCATTTTTCATTTTTGATTGATTAGTTTCTTTATTTAAAGATTTATAATTTTATAAAGCTTGGGTTTTAAACAATAAGATATTTTAATGTTTTATTTGTTTACCTGGGTCCAAATCCTTTCCTAGATATTTTACTCAGTTCTCCTTCCTTGACGAGCTCCCGACCCGGTTTAATCAGCTCCCAGTCCCCCACCCTGCTCTGCAACTTTAGCATTCGCTGGAACTTATCCTAGATAGATAGATAGATAGATAGATAGATAGATTATAGAATAATAGATAGATAGATAGATAGATAGATAGATAGATAGATAGATAGATAGATAGATAGAATAGATAGATAGATAGATAGATAGATAGATAGATAGATAGATAGATAGATAGATAGATAGATAGATAGATAGATAGATAGATAGATAGATAGATAGATAGATAGATAGATAGATAGATAGATAGATAGATAGATAGATAGATAGATAGATAGATAGATAGATAGATAGATAGATAGATAGATAGATAGATAGATAGATAGATAGATAGATAGATAGATAGATAGATAGATAGATAGATAGATAGATAGATAGATAGATAGATAGATAGATAGATAGATAGATAGATAGATAGATAGATAGATAGATAGATAGATAGATAGATAGATAGATAGATAGATAGATAGATAGATAGATAGATAGATAGATAGATAGATAGATAGATAGATAGATAGATAGATAGATAGATAGATAGATAGATAGATAGATAGATAGATAGATAGATAGATAGATAGATAGATAGATAGATAGATAGATAGATAGATAGATAGATAGATAGATAGATAGATAGATAGATAGATAGATAGATAGATAGATAGATAGATAGATAGATAGATAGATAGATAGATAGATAGATAGATAGATAGATAGATAGATAGATAGATAGATAGATAGATAGATAGATAGATAGATAGATAGATAGATAGATAGATAGATAGATAGATAGATAGATAGATAGATAGATAGATAGATAGATAGATAGATAGANCTATTTGTCTATCTGGGTTCCTGTCTATTTGTCTATCTGGGTTCCTGTCTATTTGTCTATCTGGGTTCCTGTCTATTTGTCTATCTGGGTTCCTGTCTATTGTCTATTCATATATATGAATGTTGTTTGTCCAAATCTATCTATATCTGCCTACTTTTTTCTGATTTAAAAATAGAAATTTAAATTAAGGAATTAGTATCATCTGCAGTTATAGATTCAATCCTTAAAAATATTCTGTTATGATGCTGGTTTTTATGTATAGATTACATGACAAAAAATCCTCGAAAATGCAAACTGTACAGTTTCCGCTTGCGGATTTTCTTGCACAGTTTTCTTTAACTCTGAATGCCAACCCGGAGATTTGTGCGAACGAACAAACTATTATTTAGTCACGATTCCCCGGTCTCATGGGGTGTCACAAAATAATTAACATTTTCGAAAAATCTCCTATACGCTGTCCAAAAAAATATAAAGACGACTTTTGAATAATTTCGCAAAACTTGTTTTAGTTAAAACCCACCTTGGCTTTTTTGTGCCTTTATTTTTGGAATGCCCTGAACAATTAGCGACCATAGAAATAAGTGGTTGGAAAAACTTAAACCCTTTTCCATACAGGGATTTCGTTTCACATGTCATGACGAGAATCAAAAGGAGGATTTGATTGAACAATTCATAATAAAACTTTTTAATTTTCATTTGCAAACTTGTAGCAGCAACGGTCCTGTTTTTAACATAAAAAATATCTCTCTGCCAAAAAACTATCTGAATTTTAACTATTTAACTATAAATATAAATTATCCAAGAAATACAAAACGAGTTTTAAGGTACAGGGTTTCTCTTTGAAGTACAGGGTTACCCACAAAGTATGAGACTACAGAGACGAATTTACGGATTGTACATTATCTTGCTTTCATTGTTCCTTGTTGGTCAAAACTGGAATATATCTGTGCTTAATTAGCTCCTAAATCATCAAGACACAAAATTGAATGCAGTAACCAAAAATAAAGCTTCAAATCGTCATATGTTTAAAGTTTTGGGTCGTCTTTACAGTCTCATCCTTTGTTACCCTGTATTAAGATGTAATTATAAACGACCCTCCATTTAAAGAGGATTCACGATGTGGTACCATTTCAATTCCTTCTGAGAAAAAATGATAAAGATATTATTTTTTTACTTTCCATACTGGTTTCTCTATCAAAGTAGCTTGCGGATTTTTCAGTAGAGACAAAAATAAAAAATTGTAATAATTTACAAAGATAAAGGTATAAAATGTACCCTTCTGCTCGTGAATCAGGACATGTCCCTTTATAAAAAAGGGTCCTTTAAAATAATTACGTTTACAGTCGATTTAAAAACTATAGAATATGTTATAAAAATCTTAAAATCTTCATAAAACCACCCCCTTAAGTTTTAAATCCCGGAAAATGTTTACTCACCCCCTGCTTGACAGTGTTGTTTGCATGCTCTGCTGCCTCGCTGACAATGTGAAGAGCCTGGGTGGTATCGTCGAAGTCTGGGCTGTCAGGATCTAAATGTTTGAGATAATCCTCGAGAAGGAGACGATATTGGGGCAGTCGTTGAACAGGCTTTAACATATAGTGCTGCAACCTAAATACAATCCATAGATTAACAACAACACAGATAGAACACTAAATGCGTTTAATCCATAGATTAACAACAACACAGATAGAACACTAGATGCGTTGAATCCATAGATAAATAACAACACAGATAGAACAATAGATGCGTTTAATCCATAGATTAACAACAAAACAGATAGAGCACTAGATGCGTTTAATCCATAGATAAATAACAACACAGATAGAACACTAGCTGCGTTTAATCCATAGATTAACAACAACACAGATAGAACACTAGATGCGTTTAATCCATAGATAAATAACAACACAGATAGAACACTAGATGAGTTTAATCCATAGATTAATAACAATACAGATAGAACACTAGATGCGTTTAATCCATAGATTAACAACACAGATAGAACACTTAATGTCGTATTTAACAATAACCCTGTGGCAGAATTCCGAAGTCTTGTTATTCAACGCTGCCTAAGCCGAACTCCTTTGGGCTTCAACTCATCTAGTGTTCTATCCGTGTTGTTATTAATCTATGGTTTAATAACAAAAAAAGAAAACGAAAAAAAAAGGTTTGAAATCAAAGGAACAGAGTTTTTGACAAAAACATTCTAAACCCTTAAATTTTTACAACACGATGTCTAAACCTTTAATAATTCAAACTATAAATTCTGTTGAATCACATGTTCTAAGTTTGAAATATCAAATGTTTACTCCATCAGGTTGCAAAGATGCAGCAAAATTTCAGTTCCTATTTTGAGAATGAAAATATCTCTTTTATTATTTAAGTTCATGAGTCTGTTTTACCATTAAATTCATTGTTTTAAAATCTCAAAAAATTCCAAAGATTTAATTTCCAACTATTTTTTTCTTCAACAAAGAAAGAATTCCTTAATAAATTGTTTTGCATTTTAAAAAAATCATACATTTAAAATAAAAACTTTACATTATTAACAAAAAGATAAAACATTCTCAAATTCTAAATTTAAGATTTCATTTGGGATTTTTTTTCGGTGAAAAAAAATGTTTAACCATTTAATAGAATAAACTATAGTTCACATATACATTTTTCAAATAATTATGATTGTACAAAATATGAAATATATGAAACTTGGAAAATTTACCTTAGGCGCTGACAACGGGGCAGCTTCTCAAATTCTTTGACTAGCTTTCCAAACTTTGGATACCGAGAGCAGCATTCTTCAAAATGGAAATTCATCGCGGAAAAATCCCGAATATAAACTGTGTACAGTTTCAGGTACGGTCCCTTACGCACAATCACGTCGGCGATCTTCTTGATGGTGTTCCAGTTCTCCACCCTTGTCTCGAAGTCCCTGAGCAGGTCCTCGTTCAACATCATCAGCTCTGGCAGGTTGCTGAACAGCTTCACAAAGTCCTGGTCCGGAAGAATTCCGGATTTAGACTCTGCGCGGGCTTTTTGGACAAACTCGCGGAATTCTGTATTCAGAATTTTCAGAACATCAACATACACCCTCTCAGAACTCATGATTTCCCGCGCTATAAAGAACAGTTTACGCTGTTGGCGCTGTTCAGGGGTTAGGTCGTCGTTGACGTTGGTTGGAGGAGAGCCGGTGGAGGCGCCGTTTTCATCGGAGGCGGAGTTGTTGTCGAAACTTTCGGAGGAGACGGACTGGGCGCTGATGACACTGTTTCTGTTTGAGCTGATATTGAAGCTTTGGCAGGTGGAGACACTGGAGAATGTGTCATTGCTGTTGTTAGCAGCAACAGCTCTATGCTGCTTTGGAACCTGAATAATAATAATAATAATAATAATGGTACAAATATATAATTACACTTTTCACCTTAGGTCTTAGAAAAGCTGGAGATTGAGTTGAATCATTGGATTTTGCTGAGAAATTATTTGCTGGCAGACTTTTCACCAGTTCTGTGAACTGTCCTATAGAAAGGGAGCCGGACAAATCTGTCCTATCACTGGATTCAACCGGATCTTTCATACTCAAAGGCAGTTCTTTCTTTTTCGGTGATTTCACTAGCTTTTTTCGTCCTTTCCCAAAGGATCCGAGTAATCCACGAATTCGATTTTTCAACGGAGAAAAACTACCTTCGGAGTCACTAAACGTGCAATCATCATACACTGCGCTGGTTCGAGCAGACTCGGAGTCACTCTCCCCCCACCCAACGGAGATAGGTTGGTCTCCGTGTCTAGGCTGAACCTTCTCCTTATAGCTGTGGTTGAAGGAGTGTCTTCGGAACAAGCTGGTTTTTCTCGGTTTAGTTTCAGGTTCCGGAGCAGAGATTTCATAACTTAATTTTCTCTGGTTTATTTTCAACTCCGCCTTGGACTGGGGGTAGGTTACTCTATGCCGGGATTCCCGTCTGTTCCCCAGGGACTTGGGGAATCCTATATATAGCTCTGCGTTGTCCAACGTATTAGCACTGGGTCGTGGAGAGGATATCTCCGATCTAATGATAGAACCAGGACCCGGAGATGCTGAGGAAATTTGAACAGTTCTGAAGGTTTCCAACGCCGCGTTAATCTTAGCCTGGGTTTTCTCCAGTTTACGAATATTGGTTTCAATATCCGAACTGAGCCCTAGACTGGACGGATCTGAATCCGAATCCGACCGAACTCCAGACCTCTCGCAACCCAGGGAGGAGAGGATGGATTCGGCCTGACTGATATTACTGTCCGCGAGACTGAGAACGTTTCTGAATGGATCAAAGTTTAAGGTTCGGTATGTCCCCGACTCCAATTCCCTACTAGAGCTTGGAGCAAGGTCTGACTCCCTACTGGAGCTGGAAATGGACAGCTGAGAATTTGGTCCGAGCTGGGACGCAGAAACAGGAATAACTGGTTGGGTTTGGTTGGCTCGACTGCTCTGGTTTTGGATTCGCTGAATGAACGGATGATTGCCTGTTATCCCATTACCATTGCATTCCACCAGGACAACATTGTCCGGTTTAGTTATGACAGGACTTAGTATTTTCGTCCTACTGTTCGTCCTGTTGTTTAAGGACACGCTGCTCGTCCTCCCAGCTATGGACGATGCACTGGCTCTAGATGATAAGGATGAGCTACTAGTCCTACCCCAGGGGGAGATTATAGGACTAGGCTCCTGGGGGCAGTAGAAGTTTATACTTGGAGTAGAAGGAGTTGAAACTTGAACCCGAACCTCAAGTCTAGGATGGGACGGAGTAGACACTTCTCCGGAGAATCGTCCGTCCTCTGAAAATGATAATTTGTTAAATTCTGAGAGTTTTTGTTAAGATTAAGCTCAATATGAACAACATATCAAGATAACTAAAGATACAGTGATCAATGAAGAAGAAAACTTTTTATTCAAGTTTTGACTATTAAATACCCTTTTTTTTAAAAACAAGTTTAGTTACAAGTAAACAAAACAAAACTGTTATTTGATAGCTTTAATATGTTTCCATGCTTATGAGAATCAATGTTATTTAAAAGCTTGTTAAAAATCAAAATTAAAAACGAAAGTAGTCTTCAAATGTATTGATACATACAACGACGACTGTGAATATGTTGTGCAAATAATTTGTCAAAAACATTTTTTTAGTTATATCCCCCTTCCCTAGACACCACACTATGCTTAACTGAGGAGAAATATAAAAAAAACAAGTTTAAATAACTCGAAACCCATATTTGATAGTATGTAAAAAAGGTTTCAAGAGATAACATAGAAATTAAAGAGAAGTACATAGAAATTAAAGAGAAGTACATAGAAATTAAAGAGAAGTACAGAGAAATTAAAGAGAAGTACATAGAAATTAAAGAGAAGTACATAGAAATTAAAGAGAAGTACATAGAAATTCCAGATTAAAATCCTTAAAGTGTTAACCAATGAGAAAGAGGTTAATCTTTTAGTGTGTGTAGAATGAAAAGTGGGTTTAACTTAATCCTTCCATTTAAAAATTTTCAGTTTTTCAAAAATGTTCTAAAAAAGCAGCCAATATCTCTATTTTGTAAGTTAATAAATACTCCTAGATTTACAACATATATCCTTGACTTTTTATGTACTTTTCTTGCACCGTTATCTTAAAACGTTGACACGTTGACTTCCAGTCTTCAGTATCTACAAATATCAAAGAAAATGCTGATTGACATATTTCAAAACTCTTAAAATAGGATTTTTTCATAGATATGCTGTGTAAACCTTTAACCCCTTTCAACCCCCCCCCCCTGCATGCTCAATTTATTTTTTATCTCTTATATCACATTTTGCTGTCTTTTAAAATAATCTGTTGTCCCACCTTCTTTTTTTTTTTTTGCAAATTTCTTAACGTTAACCCCCCCCACCCACTTAGAAAAAAATAACATTTCAATATTTGATTTTAAAAATCCCTTAAACTTGACTCAACTAAGCTTTGGCTGTGGGATTTAAAATCCCAAGGATTAGAATAGAATTACAGAGTAATCCCTGTAGGAGTAGTTCTACTTGTACATTTTAACCACAGGGGAAGTTAAAAGAATAAATTTAGGGTTTATTCTGGGAACACCCTGGCTTCCCAGAGATTTAAACTTAATTTGGGCCTAAAACTGGTCAATTCAGGCAGTTTTCTGAAGAAAACAGAACATTTTTTTGGGGAAATAGTCAATTATCTAAATTTGGGATTTGTTTTTTTGAACTTCATTAAAATAGATAATTTGAAAGAATTCTTACAAAAAATATCAATTATTCTTAACCTTATTCTTGGGGGTGGGTGGGTGTTATTAGGGTTGAAGGAAACATTAAAATTAAAACCATTTACATCAGTATCAAAGGAATTGAGTCTTAACAATCCCATTGCAACCCAATGTAGTAAATCTTTGTTATTTCAAACAGTGAATTTTGTTAGATTAAATAATCTAAGTTTGAAATATCAAAAGTTTTCACAATAAGGTTGCAAAGATATGAAGATTAGGAAATTGGCAAAGACTCAATTCCTTAGCACAAGTTATATGAAGTGTAAATAAAAAGGATTTAAAACATTATTTATATTTTTAATTTTGTATTATAAATACGCTTGCATAATATTACGTATATGTAAGGGTGTATATATGTTCTATATACACATCCAAATTTTGTGTACTCACGGATTTTCCTAAATATTTTCGTAGATTTACTTAAAATCTAGAGGTAAGGTCGACAAAAAAATTAAGCTTTAGATCTTGGGAACTTTTNAACCTTTGACATTTTAAACTGTTTGATCTACTAGAATTTATAGTCTGAAATGGCAAAGGCCGTAGGCAAAGGAGATAAAGCTGGATCAGAAATTTGATTTTGTAAATATCTGGGGGCAGGCTTATTCAACCATACTTGACAACACTTTGCTAACATACATTTAATTTTATCTTTTTGGTAAAAATCGATAGTGTTTCAAAACAATACTTACGGCTTTGAAATATATTTGATTTTACAAAAATATAATTCACTGATTATAAAAAAAAAAATACTAAACAATTGTATGAAAAAGAAAGTGACAGATGACCCCATAACCCGTATCCCATCATCCCCTGTGAAATACAGAAATATTAGAAACTCAAAATCTCCGTGAAAAATATACTTTTTACCAATTCCCTCATCATAAAATGCACAAGCTTCAAATCTTTACTGAGTCGAGAAATTAAGCTGTAAATACAGAGTTTAAGTACAGATGCTTCTGGACTTAAGTTAAGAATTCTCTACTTAAAACCGGGTTTAAGATTGCAAACTTTAAGCTACACATTCCAAAGTTTATGTTTCAAATAAAACGGCAGGGATGAATAAACATTTTGCTTTCTAATATTTTCTCCTCATATACAAGAAAGTTTAAATCCCTCCTTATTCCACAATATTTTCTCTTAAAGGGAGTGACCGGCTATGTAAGGTTAGTTGAACTGAGTATGCAGTTTTGTGGAAAACTTCTTTCGGATTCATTTGATACATATAACACTTTTTAAAGATCAGTAAATCCTGAGTTTGAGTGCAAATTCGACGTTCAAAACTCCTACTTTGGGGGTGGATACGTTTTCAGAATTAGTTTTTTTTTAAATTATTAAATTACTACAGACGTCATGTTTAGGAACATGTTGAGAAAATAAATATTAATCCTTTCATCGAAAATAATTAATCTTGTTCAATTATTAGTTTCTATTTTCTCATTATTCAAAATATTTTCGCAGATTTTCTAGAATTATTATTGAAAAGACGACATTTGAAGAATTTGAATAAATCTGCGAATAAATTCAAAGAAGATAAGAAATTCAATATAATAATGAAAACGAAATAATCGATTTTAGCATTGATTTATTGACAAATTTCTTTCGAGAAATATGTTCCTAACCATCTAATTAGATTACTGTAAAATTTTTACTTTATTTTTCGATGTCGTTAATAGTTAAAAAAAAAAAACTAATTCTGATAACGTATCCACCCCCAAAGTAGGAGTTTTGAACGTCGAATTTGCGCTCAAACGCAGGATTTACAGATCTTTAAAAAGTTTTACATGTCTCAAATGATTCCGAAAGAAGTTTTCCACAACACTGCATACTCAGTTCAACTACCTTACATAGCCGGTCACTCCCTTTCATAATATATCTTCACCCTTTTATGCAATTTCGTCTCTCCTTTAAATAATTCAAATATGTTTGACCGCAAATTGAAACGTGATGAAGCAAACGCCATGTTGTTTTCGGCCATTTTTTATTTTGCGTAAATAAAAAATGAAAATTAAAAATGAGTTTTTCCAAAAAATTAAATTACAATTATAATATGTAGATGTTTGTTTTAATTTTTGTATATTTGTATCTATATTGTTACCTATAATAATAAAAGTCCGTTTAACTGCAAAAATTTTCAAATAATGATGTTATTACAGAACGTATATAGGGTAAATGATGATTTGTTGCTATTTATTTTAAACATATTCAAGGTCTAATAACAGTATGTAATAACATATACTCCTAAAATAATATCAAACATAAGGTGTGTCTAAAAAAACAGTAGGTCCCGAATTTTAAACAGATTTTTTTTTCATGATATTAAACATATCTACTAAAAATGTCTGACTCCAAAAACTCTAAACTTCAGAATTCGTTTTTTTATAATTTTATAATTTGTATTTACAGTGAATTATGCCACTATATAAAATGATTAAAATATTCTTTAAACAAATTTATAAATAAATAAGTTAATTTGGAAGAAAAATTCCTTTAGATTAAAGAAGATCAAAATTGTGAAAAATCTTTGTTACGATCCTTTTGATTCTAAAAATACCCCCCCCCCCCCCCCCCTTTATTAAGTTGTTTAGTTATATTGTAAGAAATCCTGGAATGAATTAATGAATTATTAAACCAAAGGTTCAAGTTACATTTGTTTAACTAGAGCATAACAAATACTCATCAAGAATAAGAAATAATAAATTTACAAGCTTCACCCAAGTTTGAGCTGAGCACAAACTGAATACTCGCCACAAATTCTAATTTTCTAACTTGCGAATCCCTATATCTTTGCAACCTGAATATGGTAACCTTTGACATTTTAAACTGTTTGATCTACTAGAATTTATAGTCTGAAATGGCAAAGGCCGTAGGCAAAGGAGATAAAGCTGGATCAGAAATTTGATTTTGTCAAGTTAGCTGTTGTTTTTATCTCTTCAAAACAATCATGTTTGTTTTTATTTGACTTCCTTGTGTGCTGGGGGGGGGGGGGTAATTAATGTGTTTAATTAATAAAATCCTAATTAAAAATAATGAAACAGGACGAGACGGATTAATCCAGGCTAGTGCTAGAGATGGATAAGGTTAACGTAAATAACCTCAATTCTCATTCAATATCGGAGAAACACGCTCAAGGACATATATTCTAAAGTTATCATGCACTCCCCCCTCCCCAATTTTTTTTGAGAGGAAAAAAAGGACATTTAAGCTTTTTATTCATCATTTAAAACTTTTTCGCTTAGAATGAAAAAAAAAAATTCTTTTCTCTCACCAAATAAATGATGCTTTGGCCTAAATCTCTATTTGAAAATGAATCATAAACTTTTGAGTCATGTTTCCCCCCCCCCTCAAAAAAAAACGTAAATTGGGTGTGAGAATAGGTTCGAAAGTATTATATATATTATAAACAGAGTATATAGGAGAGTTTTTGTTCATTTATATTAATATATATTTCTATATACGCTAGTTATAGCTTGCCAAATGACCAAATTGGCAAAAAAATTTTAGGTAACCCCAGGGAAAACATGGGCAACACAAATTTTTTTACAAAACTTTATTTTTTCTCCAAAATTCCACGGGCGTATATAAGAGATATGGTGTGACACACAACTACAGGGTGGTATAAGAGATATGGTGTGACACACAACTACAGGGTGGTATAAGAGATATGGTGTGACAGACAACTACAGGGTGGTATAAGAGATATGGTGTGACAGACAACTACAGGGTGGTATAAGAGATATGGTGTGACAGACAACTACAGGGTGGTATAAGAGATATGGTGTGACAGACAACTACAGGGTGGTATAAGAGATATGGTGTGACAGACAACTACAGGGTGGTATAAGAGATATGGTGTGACAGACAACTACAGGGTGGTATAAGAGATATGGTGTGACAGACAACTACAGGGTGGTATAAGAGATATGGTGTGACAGACAACTACAGGGTGGTATAAGNTCCCCCTCCAGCATTTTCATATGTTTTATAAAGAATTAATAAAGAAGTCTTATAGAATTCAAAACTTTTAAAAAATTCAATGCCCCTCTAAGTTGTTATAAAACATTGAAAAAAATACACAAGGAATATAAATCTATTGATAACATAAGAAATACTAAGAAAAAGATGTTAAAAGTGTAGTGACAACAAACCATAATATATCTACTTATCAAGTATGTTAGTATGTTAGTACTAGAGGGGTGCAAAAGTATACCCCCCCCCTGTTTAGAGATTTATAGAAGTGAAATAACGGATTTTATAATTTTTATGTCAAAAATGAATTTCTTACCATGAACTTTTTCTTTCCCAATGATAAGTGTAGAAACATTCTGAGCGCTCGTTCGACCCGCCGATACCCGCCGACCAGCCCGCCATCGCTCTGCCTCCCCGCCGAAAACCGGTTTCACCATCATATCGATTTCTTTCACTGGTTTAATCACGGTATAAATGTTATCGGATTGAGGGAAGAACGGGTAAAGGTCTTCCAGGAGTTTACAATCGCCTTCTGTTACCGCCTGGGCGATTAGCTGGGCATCGTTGAAACTTAAACTACGTTTCAGTCCCGACGCCAACGGGAGAAGCCGGGGACGTTTGCGCTTCGGCGGTTTAGCAAGCTTCACTAACGGCGGGGTTATAAGATAATTACTGTGGCGGATTTCATATGAAGAAAGACAGTACTTAGATTTTGTTGAGATACCTGAACAATATTAATTTATCAATTTATCAATTTATCAATTTATCAAAAACATAAGTATGCAGGGTTATACCCACAACTAGACTGATCCTTAACTGACGGCCCTAAGGAGAATTAAAGAGACTGTCATTGAATTCTCCAGTGACCGTCCATTAAAACAGAAGAGGGCATGTCAAATTTAAAACGGTACCCTTGAGTTTGAAACGTTAATCTGATCTACAATGTGGTCCGCCGAAGATAACGTTTTTTAACTTGATCAGACTGGTAAGCAATGGAGGGTCAATTAAAATTGCGCGTACAGTTCCTTTAATGGTTTCTTTGCTAATCGTTCGACATAATGTTTTTCTTTTCATTTATACAAACCTTGAATAAAATAAAAGAAAATCAGACTTTTAGGGAATTCCACAAACCATTAATTTTTTTGATAGAGAAAAACATTTGTCAGAACAATATGATAGAAATATCCTTGTTTTTCAATCTTGAAAATAATAATATTTAATTACAGTTTCTCCATTTAAGATATTTGCGGACATATGAAGCCGATTAAATATTGTTAAAAGCGTACTGTTGTTAATCTGACGTGCAACTCTATAATTCAGTTCAACAAGTTACCTTGAAAGAATCCCGTATCACTACTAGTGGTGTGTGGTGTAATTATACCCGGAGATCTCCGTCCGTTCAAACTAACCCTTAAACTGGACAACCTGGAGAAAAAACTTGAACTCGAACCCTTCCCACTCGGCAGCTTGTGTGGTTTCGGAGAATGGATTTCTGGTTTATAATAATTATCCAGGCTAGCGCTCTTACTGGCTCGGTTCGGAGTCGGGATTGAATTCCTCCGTCCGTCCGAGGGTTCGGTGTCTCCGGTACTGTCTCCCGACTTGGCAACGTCTCCCAGGACGGGAGATGTTTTTGACTCCTTACTACACGATTCACTTTCCTCTTTATGGATTGGGATAACTCTGTACTCGGGTTCCCCTATACTGATTTCATCGTCTGCACGGAATTTAGCCCTAGGGGGGATTTTACCCCGCGAAAGTTGATCTTTTAAAACTTTTTCTGCTTCCGTTTTCAGCAGCTTCCGTTTAGTGTTGGATTTACTAAACGTTTCCCGGTGCAAACTGAAATATATATATAATGATGAACAGTGAAGACGGACAAGTTTACTCTGTTTGTAAACTGCAATTTTCTTGATTAACTAAGTACANATAATAATAATAATAATACCTGGAATTAATCCCTTGACCAATCATTGTTTCACTTTGATCATGTTTCCTGGGACTGTTGAGTGTACCTGGAGAAGGATTAACTGTCCTAGCTGTATTTGAACCCTGAGACGGAGTTCTCAGCCTCGACTCTGTTTTCCCTGTCCTCTCTACCGTCCTCGGTAGTCGGGGAGAGGACGAAGACCTGATATTTGAGGTTGGTAAGGATCTATTTAAACTCCTGGAGGCCGGAGGAGGAATCCTGGACCCAGCAGTGCTTGGTTTAGAACCCTGAGCAGAGCTTGGATTAGCACCCTGAGCAGGACGGATTGAAGTGAAGGACTGTCCAAGTTTACTGCCCGGAGAGGGTTTCCTTCTTGAAACTAGATCTGAGGAATCCAACGAACTTAGAACTTCAACGGAGTTGGCTAGACGGGAGGAGGAGGAGCTGGAATATATCTCCGGGGGTTTTAGAGTACTGCTCTGGGACCTAGGAAGACCACGTGATCCCTCAAAACTTCGCAAATGAACGCTTTTTATTAGATCCTCTTGGCTCTTACTGATTGGGATTTTTGAGAACTCTCCGTAGATGGAGGACCTGGGACTGTGAACAGGGCTAGGAGTACTCTCCTTACTAGATGAGCTTCGAGGAGTGGTGTCTCCGGCAGACCCGGAGCTAGGACGGGTTCTAGTTCGTACAGGAATACCTCGGGGTTTCACTTCTCCGGAGGGTTTAATACGGGATCCGGAGAAATGGTTCGGAGAAACAGACCTGAAATAAGAAAACAAGAATGATTAACAATTCTTGACAATAAAAAAGAATGAAAGGATGAGTATAAAAGGAAGAAAGGATGAAAGCATAAAAGAATGAATAGAACAAAGGATGAAAGGATGAAAAAATGAAAGGATGAAAAAATGAAAGGAAAATTGATGAAAGTAAAGAATGAAAGAATGAAAGAATGTAAGATAAAAGGATGAAAGGAAAGGATGAAAGAATGAAAGGATGAAAGGATGGTAGGATGAAAGGATGAAAGAATGAAAGGATGAAAGAATGAAAGAATGAAAGGATGAAAGTATAAGAGGATAAACGTGTGCTTCATGTCTAGTTTACAGCTGAGCAAGGATAAATAATGAACCCTAGAACCATGTCTCCAGGAGGGGTTGGAGTAAGGGAGAAATTACCGATAAATCTTAGGTTTGAAGGTTAACATGTAAGTTATTTTTTACAAAACATATGTTTCTGAACCCCGACATTACATTTGACATTGGAGACTGAACAAATGTGGAAGAAAAGAACAGGTTTTGAAAAATACTATTATCAACTTAATATTGCCATGTTTAGTTTGTTTTTTAATCTTTTCATTGGTTTCATATTTCTTAAATAACTGTAAAGTTCAAATTTTTGGTTCACTGCAATTGAACCAAAAATAACTAGGCTTTTAGGGCGCTTCGCGCCCATCTTCTTTTTTAAATTTTAACTGTGGATTTATCTGTGAGCATCTTCTCTTTGTACAGTACAAAAAATTTCTTTTTTAAAAATTTGCGGATTTCATAATATTTTTTCGCGCATTTTCAAAATTTTACAAAATTAAATAATTTAAGATAAAAATATCTCAAGATTACATATTTAAAGTCTGATTGGCCATAAACCTTTCCTGGGGCCACGTGAGGTCCCACAAAAAATTTGGGCCTGATCGTTTCAGCCGTTTTGACGTTTATTGGATACAAACAAACAAACAGACTGAAGTAAATAATGTTTCACTAATATTTCTGGAAAATTCCTTAGAGTTGTTTTTAAATATTTTTTAATGTCAGATTTTCTAAAGTTATTTAAACATTTCTCCGAGATTAGTAACATATAAAGGTTAAACATGGATGATTACAAACGAGCTTGAAAATATCTGGAAGTTGGGGGGGGGGAGGAGGAACTGGGGATTTCAGAATATTAACAAATATAAAAACTATGGCGATTTCAATTTTGAAAACAAATTTTTTTTTTAAATTTCGGTTTATTTAAAAATAAAGAAAAGACTTTTAATATTTAAATTTCTTTAAATAATTACCCCTGCTTTTTTAATCGTCCTTTTCTCCTGAAAGCCGGCGACCCTGGCCGATAATTTGGACTTGTTTTCTGATACACTCTGCAGCCTGGGCCATTTTTCTGGTTCATCCTGTATCCAGGCACCTTGTAGGGACTCCTATAGGGACTCCTGGAGTAGGGGGGATGGACGATGGAGTAGATGGACTCGTCCTTGTTGTACTTGGGTTCGTCCATGTGAGGACTATACTGGTCCCGAACCCCCCATAGATAGGAGACTAGTAGTAGAGAACACATTCAAAATAGTCACTATTAAAAGTTTTTTTGCGGCGATTTAAAAACTGGTTTCTTTAAATATGCACGTTTAAACCCTGACTAAACCTAAGAGTACACTTTTGATGAACAAAATTTTTAAAGATTTATCAAAGAAGTATTGAAAGAAATGTTGAAATTATAAATTAATTTACCAAAATAGGTCCGGTTCCCAAATTTTTAAAAAATTTATTTTGATTTTTTTCAAGAAATTAAAAAAAAAAGTTTTTGAATGTTTTTGTTTTCCTAGCATTTTCCAGCCCATACTACTTGCATTGCCTCCTGCAAGTCATTCCTTCCTGCATTCTTATAGTTGGGACCTTTTAGAGGTCTTTCAAAGTCTTTTTTTAAGGTTTATTTCTGAAATTAGGATAATCTTATACATTCGTATGGTTGGGACCTTTTAGAGGCCTTTCAAAGTCTTTTTTTTTTAGGTTTATTTCTGAAATTAGGATAATCTTATACATTCTAATAGTTGGGACCTTTTAGAGGTCTTTCAAAGTCTTTTTTTAGGTTTATTTCTGAAATTAGGATAATCTTATACATTCTTATAGTTGGGACCTTTTAGAGGTCTTTCAAAGTCTTTGTTTTAGGTTTATTTCTGAAATTAGGATAATCTTATACATTCTTATAGTTGGGACCTTTTAGAGGTCTTTCAAAGTCTTTTTTTAGGTTTATTTCTGAAATTAGGATAATCTTACACATTCTTATAGTTGGGACCTTTTAGAGGTCTTTCAAAGTCTTTGTTTTAGGTTTATTTCTGAAATTAGGATAATCTTATACATTCTTATAGTTGGGACCTTTTAGAGGTCTTTCAAAGTCTTTTTTTTAGGTTTATTTCTGAAATTAGGATAATCTTATACATTCTTATGGTTGGGACCTTTTAGAGGTCTTTCAAAGTCCTTTTTAGGTATATTTCTGTAATTAGGAAAGTCTTATATATTCTTATAGTTGGGACCTTTTAGAGGTATTTTAAGTCTTTTTAGGTATATTTCTAAAATTAGGATAATCTTTTACATTCTTATAGTTGGGACCTTTTAGAGGTCTTTTAAGTCTTTTTTAGGTATATTTCTGAAATTGGAATAATCTTATACATTCTTATAGTTGGGACCTTTTAGAGGTCTTTCAAAGTCTTTTTTAAGTATATTTCTGAAATTAGGATAATCTTACACATTCTTATAGTTGGGACCTATTAGAGGTCTTTTACGTCTTTTTTAGGTATATTTCTGAAATTAATTTTTCCTAATAAATTCTTTGGGACCTTTAAGTTACAGTCGACATTATTAGATTAGAATTCTTTTTAAGAAAAGATTTATTTAAAATTGGTAAAACTTGCAAAGTTTTAAGAAATATAGACATATAGATAACTGAAGGACAGAAAAATGGACAGAGATATTTTTAGTCAGACTGATAGACGGAGACATATCGAAAAATTGATCCCGTCTATTGATAAAAGTGTCAAGTTTACTAAACGTTAGATTTATTGCTTGTTACAATGCAGTTTGAAAATATGTTTACTTCCAATAAACTTTATTATGTTTTATATGATAAACAAATAAAACAAACTAAATGTCAACACCTAATCTGAAAAAATAGGGGAGGAAATTAGCTTTTTTACAATCACCATACATTATACAAATATTATTATGCAAAGTTCAGTTCTATGATATAAGATCCTTGAAGTTAATCTAATATTGAGTGTCTAAAAAAAGTTTATTTGGACAAAATAACTCATGTCATGCAGAATACTGCATTTTTCCACCACTTTTTTTGCATCTTGATGTCGTAGACCTTTTATGTCAAATTTTCCAAGTTGAATTTACAAAAGGTTGCCAAGAGATGAGAAAATCTTAGTTTAGAGTAGTTTAAGATTTGATAAATCTCATCTAATCATAACTTGACATCAACATACAAGAAAAAATCAAACAAAATTTTGGAAATTACATTTTAAAATGAAAAAAAATATATTTTTGAGTAAAATCAATGTATATGCCCCCCCCCCCCNTGCCAAGGGGAGGGGGGTACGGGCATAAGGGTAAGGGATGTGGGGGGGGGGAGAACACTTGTGAAAATGGCAGCTTTCCTTCTTTTTCTGTCTTTCATCAAGTCTTTTTAATATTAATGAGACATTGATTACACTCAATCTTAAAAACTTTCAACTCTTCCGGCACAAAATAAAAAAAATAAAAAGCTGAAAACATTAAAATTTTCTGTTTGAATAAAAAAAGTTTTTAAAAATTAAAAATATTATACTTTAGACATTGTTTGTGACATTTAATATAGATTGATGAAAAAGTGGGAAAGGTTTTCTAAAATATTTATCAAAAACTCAGAGGACCGTGACATTTTACTTTTTACTGAATAAAACATTTTACAAAAAACTAAAACAAAGAATTTTTAAAAGTTAAAAATAATATTATTTTTAAAAATAAAAATGAATTGATTCTAAATCTTCAGACGAAAATAACTACATAAAAAGAAAACATAGTTAATTCAAAGTTTAATTTTCAAATGAAAAATACTTTATACCAAGAGATTGAAAACGAAATCCTTTATTTAACTTTGCAAAAATGAAGAAAAATCTCCTTCCTACTTAATCTGACAAAAATATAAAGGGTATCCTTGTGAACCTGACATGCCATTCTATAATTGGAATTGAAGGTCAATTTGAATTACGTTTACAGTTCCTTTAAGAAGAATTACTTAAACAATGCAAAAATATAATTGTCTTTCTGTGTTTTTGCATAATTTGTTGCCAAAAAATTAATGAGTTCAGAATGAATCGACCGAAAATGAATGAATCGACCAAATATGAATGAGTTTAGAATGAATTGACCGGAAATGAATGAGTTCAGAATGAATGGAGCGGAGAAGGATGAATCGACCGGAAATGAATGAGTTCAGAATGAATGGAACGGAGAAGGATGAATCGACCGGAAATGAATGAGTTCAGAATGAATCTTCTTTGTCACAAACTCTTATTTTCTAACCGCTATATTTTTCCAACCCATGTCGTAGAACTTATAAATAATTTAAGTTTGAAATATCAAAGGTTGAGAGTCTAGGTTGAATCATAAAAACAAAAATTTACCATTGTCAATCAGAAATCTTGATATTTCGTTTTCATTCTCTTTAAAAACATTTTGGATGAAGGGTTTTGTTTTTCAGCTTTTTAAACGTTTGAATCGAAATAAATATTTAAAAACTGACAAAAACATGTCAGAAAAAATATATTTTGACTTTTTAGTGTTCTTGTTTCTTCAGTTTAGAAAGTAATGAGAGCAGTGGAATTCCCAGTCCCGGGGCAACCAAAGGGTGTCCCAAAAAAAAGGCTAAAAATAAAATATTCCAAAACTTACAACTTTTTTTCATAAAAAATTATTCCTCCCTCCTCCCACCTCCCCTTCTCCAAACCCCTTTATATTTAAAAACTAAAAAGTTTAAATTTAATTACTTTTCTTGAGTCACCCTGGACAAGACGCTAATTAGACAGTGCTCGGAGGAAGGATGTATTTTTACAGTAATAAGGAATAAAGTAAAATAATTCCCCCCCTCTTACACTTACCCGTCCCTCTCCACCCTCCTCTGACACTTACCTGCCCCTCTCCACGTCTTTCA